TCATCAGCTGTGCGAGAGCAGCCCCAAGTCACTGGCCAGCTGGTCATCGCGCATCGCCCTTGGCAACAAAGAGCCAAGAGCAGCTCGCGCCCACGTTCTAGCGATGGAAGCTTGTGCGTTCGGTCCGAGGCATGCTCCAATAGAAGAGAGAACTCGGACGAACGTCTTTCGACGCTACTGAAAGCTTTTCAATCTATTCGTCATGTCTTGCGCCAAAGACGAAGAACCTCCATACTGCCAGAGGAGATTTACACCGTTGCGAAGCGTCGCATTAGAGCTGCCCTGATCCGTGGGAGAGGCCGGCCAGTGCTCCAATCAGGTGTTGGACCGATGACCATTTGTGCGATTGCACATCAAATGCGTTGGCTCCCACTGGATGACGAATCCACGAGTCAGCACGAATGCACGGAAAGCAAAAGTTCGGGAGTCCGAGAGGGACGCATCCATCCTGCCATCCTGCTGCATCGCAATTTTAGCGTGCACACGCCGCCGTTCCGTATATTCTGCAAGCTCTACGTATAGCAGTAAAAACTTTGCTGACTCGAACAAAGCAGCCCAGCTGAGAAAGCTGGCGCAAGCGCGGAATTTTTGCACGTCCTACAGCGAACGGCGCGCTCCATTGCTGATCCAAGTCGTAGCATGCTGAGGCAGGTCCCCAACGGATGAGATCGTGGCACTCGAGCCTGACACGACTAGTTGCCACTCATCATTTGCTTCTCCAACTTTGGAAGCGACGAAGATCGAGCGCTCCACCTCCCCGGATCTGCGGCAGTGGGGTGCCAGCCGTCCGCATGGTGTTCCTGGCTCAAACTTGCTCTCCGGTGGCCATCCCGTGCAAAGCAGCCCCTCCTGCCGCTGAACCCCTCTTCAGCTTGCAGCGTTGAGCCCGATTTCCGACTTGAGCCGCTCTGCAGACGCCGAGACGCCGCCGGAGCAGAAAGGCTCCGAGTCGAATACCTTTGATGACTTGTTCAGTGGGATGGCTGGGATGATGCTGCGCGCGACGGTCACGCGAAACAAGTGTGGATGGCGAAATCATTTGAGACTGCTCCAACTTGCGGCAAACTCCGAAAGCGTCAAAGGCGGTGTGCGGCGCATGCGAGTGCGGTGGCGGGCCTTAGCCCCGAAGCCGCATCGCATCTTGTTACTCTGCACTGCACGACGCTTCAGCAGAGAGCATGCAGCAGCGGTTGGGTGCATGCGTGCGAATTGATCCGCTGCTGGGGTCGCACGCCAAAGAAGGCGCAGCTGACAGATTTGCGCGACAAATCATCCCATCTACGAACGCTTGATCAGAGTTTGGGCCGACCGATGTAGAGACCACTCGACGCAGATCCCCGAGAGAGAGGACCATCCGCACGTGAACAAACATCATCGCGGTCTCCAATCACGTCGTTGTTGCTTTCTCAGCACAGACGTGGAGCAGGATCGAATCGTACGATGCCACTCACAAAGTCGAACGCTGATTGGCAGCAGCTCTTCTCAGCGTTGGCGTCTCGTTGGTGGAAGGCTCCGAGCTCGAGCTCGAGCTTTCGCGCAGAGGGTGGGGGAGCAAGCTCTTGCTTGCACTCTGAATGGCAGCAACTTGAGCAAAGCTCTGCCCAATGCTATGGCCAAGCGATCCTCAGCGTGGTCAAGCAGACTTCCTCACCTCGACGGGCATCATCAAGAGCGCCAACGCGCCACCTTCAAGCGTGACGACGACGCCGTTCCACGAACAAGTACTACTGGAGTACCAAACTTGACCTGAATCAGACTCACGCCATCCTTTACACGAACAATTTGTTGAGAAAAGAGTATCTTTGGACGCCAAATCTGAGAGGACTGACAGACATTCACAAGGTAATGAATGGTCAAGCTAGGCACCGAATTATCGGGAAAGAGTGGACGTGGACACGAGAGCAGAGAGCAGAGAGACTGGTAACTTCACACGCCACGCCCAGCCTGCGGCTCAAGGTGAGGCATCGTGAGCGGTGCTCCCGTCTTGGCTGCTGGCAACATTGGGCTTCTCGTTGCTGGTGCCGGTGCCTCCGTTGGACTTGTTGGTGTTGGAGCTGGTAGTGGGCGTAGTGTTGCCCACTTCACCCTTCGGCACATCCACCTTCTTGGGTGGGATATTGTTACCGCTATCAGCCTTTTGAGGTTCGGCATTGCCCTTTGCTCCGCTGTCGGCAGCCTTGCTGGTCTTTGTTGGCGGGCTACCTTGGCCTGTGGTAGGCTGCGAGTCACCGTCTTTCGGAGCAGCAGTGCTTGGCGGGCTGCCATTGCCACCGGCATCACCGGTAGGTACCGTCGAGGTGCCACTCTGGCCAGAAAAAGGCGTCTGCGCCGGAGTTCCCGGTACGACAATCTCCGATGGGTCCTTGACTCCATTAATTGGAGGCTGCTTCTTCGCCTCGGCAATCGCGGCCGCCACGTCCTTGCCAAGGCGCGCGTCGATCTTTTCAAAGAGCTTGATGCACTCGTTCTGAGCGTTGGTGTTCTTCATATGCGCCATAGTACCACCAAAGTTGGCCGCGATGTTGACCTTATCGTGCTCTGCGAGTCCTTGATAAAAAGCGCGCTGCACAATGGACATCATGACCGTCGTCAGCTTCGCTGGCTAACGCGCGGCCATGGCATACTCACAGGTTGGTCGTAGTCAAGCTCCTGCATCTGGCTCTCGAAAGATACGATTCTCTTCTCGTCGAGATCCTCCTTGGGGTAGACGTACGACTTGACGTACTTCAACGCGTCGGTACTGCTCGGATAAAGTGCTCTCTTGCCCTGATTTCCATGCACTGCAATCTTGCCGTCACGTTGAAAGTGAGCAGTCTGAGACAGGGGACAGTTGACAGGGATCTGTTGGGAACATACGGATTTAGTACACACCCGCCTCAGGGAGAGCCTGCGGTAACGCACCTGAAGATAATTGGCACCGAGACGGTGCCTTGCTGCATCGTTGTAGCTGAACAGACGCGACTGCAAGACACTGAGGGAGAGCGTTGATCTCGAACCTGTGAGCACGGTTCATCCCGACACGTCTTCGCGTATCCTATCGCTCACGGGTCGTTGGAAGGCGCCCAGCCTTCGATTACATTGGATGGGCTGAAGTGCACTTGTTCAATTTCGGCAAAGTAGCTGAGAGCCAAAGAGACTGTGTCAGGAAGCAGGCGGTCGTCCTTTTGCGCGTCAAGTCGGGGGCGCACTTTTCCACATTCTGTGTCAACGTCATCTTGCCGACGTCATGCCACTGGGCATCCATCCAGTCCTTTGTCAAATCGTTGACATTGTATTTGTACTGTTTGCCTTCTTCGATGGTCTTGACGGCAAACTTGACGGTCCACGATGGGTGTTCGGAGCGCTCGATGGCTTCAAACAGATCTTGTGTGGCCCACATCTGGTTTTGACCCGCGATGTAATTGGCTTGAGGCCCGGTGAAATTCTGTGCGCATGTGTGCAAGATCTAGTCAGAGTTTGTTGCACCGACGGGCCAGTGACACTGCTCTCTCCCACATTGCTCGCGGTCCTCGTGCGTTCTTCCGATGCGATACTCGGCTACCAGACTCACCTTGACACCCTGATCACTTTCAAGCTTGACCTTGACGTGCACCCAAGAGCCGTCTTGTTGGACCAGTCTGTACGTGTGGCCAGACCAACCGTGCATATGGCGGAAGCCAAAAGGCGTCCCCAAGTCGGAGAACAAACGCAAGAATTGCAAGCTTGCTTCAGGGTTCTGCCAAAGATAATCGAAGACCATGTCTGGGTCTCTTTGATTTGTCTGAGGATTGGTCTTCTGAGTGTGGATGAATGCTGGAAATTTGAGGGGATCGCGAATGAAAAAGACTGGAGTATTATTGAACACCTACATGGTTTGGAAGAGTTGCATCGTCAGGCGCATGACGTTACCGGGCGAGAGTGCTAGATGCAGTGATGTGCACTCACCCAGTCCAGAATACCATTGTCCTTCGTCCGAATCTAAGTAGCGAGCCAGCACGGGTCAGACAGTCGCTGGGAAAATCTGCTCGAGGTACCTACCTTGATGGCAAAACCTCTGAGGCATGACGGAGCGCGCAACGTCAGCTGCCACAACGGCTCCCACAATCCCTAAACCACTCACCGAGGATCACGAGCCACATCGGGACCGCCGCGTGCAGAGCCGACAGTGCTAAAGCGAGCGGTGATGCTGTGGCTGCTGCCCTTCTTGAATGCTGGAGACATGCTGTACTTCTCAGCAAAGTCCGTGGTGACCTCAAAAGTGCCATGAGCGCCGGCGCCTTTAAAACGGAGAAGCAACGTGAGTCGCGTTAATTTGCCTGATAATCTACTGGGCGCTACTCACCGACGGCATGTACCACGCGCTCAGGAATGCGCTCGCGGTTAAAATGAGCCAAATCATCGAAGATGTGAGGGCTGGTAAAGAGCAGTGGCCCGTCGACGCCAACGCGATTGACAGCATAAGGACTTGGTGCCGCTACGCCGTTCTCGTGCGTAAACGTAAGCTGGTTGGAAGGCAAGAAAGACGCTTCTTCCTGCATTTTCGTCCCAGAGAACACTGCGCGAGGAGCAAGGCGGATTGACATTCAGACCAGTCCTTCCCACGTCGCCGACTTATCCCTGCGACTTACTCGCCCAGGCCTGACTGGCGCGCTTTTTCAGCCATTCGGCACGCTGACGAATGAAGCGGTCTTGGCCGGCAGCCTCGGCCTGAAGGGCGATGCTGATGGCCAAGGCAACGAAAAGAACCTGTACTCGCATGACACAAGGTGGGGGCAAGGAAAGGGGCTGGGAGAGGACTGTCAGGAAGTAGGGTGGCTGGAGCTCGGTTGATGGGCAGGCAGACTGGGGAGCCGTTTATATGTGCGACGACGTGAAGCTCGCATCGCGGCTCGGTAAAGCAAAAGAAGTTCAAGGTGCTGCGCAGACACCTTCACAACGCAGCCCAAGATTAATATTCTTGTTCGCCGAGGTGAGCCACAGCAATCCAGCGCTCCAATGCGTGGAGCAATGGTCAGCGCCGGATTGCAAATCAGTCTTGGCCAGGCGTGGCGCTGGCTCAGCCATCTTGGCGAAAGACACTGCCTCGAGAATGGAACACGCGTGCTCGGCCGGATCGCATCTGCCCGCATGGCTATGCGACTAATGCGCAGAACCTCGAACGAAGGCTGTTTTGGCAATCTATGGATCGCAGGAAGGTACGGCCCGCATAATGGCTGCCGAGTGGACCTGCCCCCGTCGATGAATACCACTGCATAATCAAATTGGCCGTCTACACTCACGACTGAGGTCAAGAACCGCTCACCGGCACGCGGGTGTCGCAGCAACATAACGGCGACGCCCATTCCACCTGTGCTGTGCCCGACTGCGCCAGGGCCTGCACATTTCAAAGATTGAAAAGACGTCTAGTGTGCGGCACGGCTCAGGAACAAGCATGGTGCACAGTGCGCGGCTCTGCCAAATGTACGCGAAACTTCTGGGTCGTCCCTTCCGTGGCTCCACTCAGTCCGTGGCTGCCTCTCCTTTGCTCGCTTCAGATTGCGCAAAGCGCTCTCGACGCACCTGTATCCGATGAAGAAGCTCCAGCTGCCCAATTGAGTGGGTCTAGATAGGGGTATGGATGCATGAGAATGCCTATTGACAGGCGCGCAAATTGGTGTGCAAACGCAATCAGAGGCGCCAGACCTGCCCGTTAGGAGCCAAAGGCAGCCAGCTGCTGGAGCAAACTTGGAAAAGATGTAGAGAACTCATTACGCATTTTAACGCGGATGCGAAAGCTCCTCAAGTGCAAAGTGTGGACCGACGGGACTGGGTTTGCGTGCCATGTTTACCTGAACAGCCTTCTTAAACCCTCGAAGCGAGCCCCACTCTCCTCGCGCACCGAGGTCCGATCTACGCTCAAGACTCGAGTCCGATCGCCGGCTGCATATCTCTTGTAGTGCCGATACCGCCACAAGATAGACACAGCGCCTTTGTGCAATGACCACCCCCGGCTCCACAGCCAGTCGATGTTGGAGCTGGAAATGCAATGGTCTTGATATAGCGATCGACATCCAGCGAGATTTGCTCTAGCGGTGCTGATTGGCGTTTCATCTTTGAGGGTGTCATCGAGGTGGCTCGTACCGCTCGACGCGCCGTCTTGGGTGACTCGGCCATTTGCTCGCGCCTCCGCATGGGACGCGGCGAAGAATATGCAAACTTTCTAATGACCCGTGGTGACAGTTGACGTGCAAGTGCATCGTGCCTTGGTCCTGGCGGCTGATTGCGGAGCTTCTTCCTGCTCCGCCCGACATCTGAGCTCGAGTCGCGATGAAAGAAATGCTCCTGCCCCGCAGAGGCAGTGCCATCCAAGCTCGAATTTGGCGTTCTCAACTCTGTTCCGTTCACTTGTGACTGCGTGGCGTAAATACCGATCTGCGCTTGCCACGGCTCGAGCTCCAGATCCGAGGCCTCGTCGACAACCCTGTGGGGCGACGCACTTTGATGCTCGGCTTGTTGTGGCCTGCGCACGCTCAGAGACCTGTATGCTTGGCTATTTGCCTTTTGCTCACCAAGGTGAGATCGACGCTTTGCCCCCCCACTTCGTTTCACCTGCAAAAGACTTTCTGCCTCGCGGGCGTCGGTCTCGTCGTCGTCACTGGAGCTTGGCCGGCGTGTAGAATGCGTCAATGTCATACCCGTACTCGTGGACGATTGCCGTCTCAGCTCTCCACCAAGGTCACCGCGTGTGATCTGATCACCTCGATGTCGGGATGCTGGATATCCCTCATCACTCCTTCGCGTCTTGTAATGTCCCTCTGGCCACATGTCAGCGAAGACGCGCCGAACGTTGTAGCAAGGCTTTGCTCGAGCTCTGGAGCTGCGTCGGCGCTCGGGCTCGTCGTCCGGCGGTGGAGCGGAGGTTTCCGATTCTGCCGACAAATTTGCTGAATGTGTCGAAGCAGGTGCAGCCAGGAGAGATGTGGATTGCTGACAGATTGCGCGCGATCTAAGGTTTGGTGCAAGCGGTCTCGCTGACGGACAAAAGTCCAGGAGTTCTGCGAGGCCAGGAAGATCGCCATAAGGCAGTGACTCGCCCATGCCCTGCTCGCCCAGTTTGAAGCGCTTTGTTCTTCGGTCGAATGGCTGCAGTAATCTTTCCACGTTCGCTCGCTTCTCGTACAGCACTTCGTCCCAGTCCGAGTAGCCATCTGAGTCATCCGAGAGGACATCGAGCTCATCCGACGAGGAGTCTGCTTGCTGAGGAGCAACCTTTGCTGAAGGCACTCTGACGGGCTGACGCCGCCTTTGGTCGTCGTAGTCGCTTTCGTATTCTACACTGCTCGCCCCGGAATCTTCATCGTAGCCATCCGAGGATCCGCGTTGGGCCTCCCAAACGCCGTTCTTCGAAGTGTCAGAACCGTCGTCAATGCCTCTATCACTCCCCGAGGCTGCGTTCTGCTCATCCTCGTCGATGTCTCCCATAATGGCCTTTCTGTGCGCCTCTGCTTCTAGGAATTCCGCTAGATGAGGATCGCCTGCGTGCTCACCGCTCGGCCAGTGGCCACGGCCATCGGAATATGATCCTATCTGATCCTCCTGCTTGATGTAGTCGCTGCGGAAGATGGCAGTGGCAGCACTGGCGCCCCAGATCCCGATCTCATCCTCGTCGCTGTCCACCTCGCCCCACGGCTCGAGTGAGCGCTCTTCTCCATAATTCAGCTCCTCGTCTTTGATGAAGGCGCCAAACTCTATTCGCTTGCTGGCAATGCCCTTCAACGTCCCTCGGTCTCGAATGAGCCGGGGTGGCCGAGTCCCCGAGCCGAGATGAATCTCATCCTGCGGAACTAGGTGGGCGTCCTCGAAGCGAGCAAATATGTCGTCCCAACGAGACTTGAGCCGCAACGTTGATGCGTAACGGGCGAACTCGACATTTTCGCTACCGTCAGGATTGAACTCGGCAGGTGGTCCAAGCTGAGAGGTAAACTGGAGATGACGAGCATGGCTCGGTTCTGTTCGACTCTGTAGAGAGCAGTCTAGAGTTAGCGCGAGGGGCAAAGATGACATCCCTTTTTGCGGCACTCACCGGAATTGGCGAGTATCCGTAGCTTGGTCCGGGTGTATCGATCCTATAAGGAGGCGGGAAAAAGCGCCAGTGGGTTTGTTGCTGAGGAGCTGCGGGAGAAGGGCTCGGTCCGTCTTGTTGCCAGCAGGGACTCGACACACCTTCTCCAGGTGGGCGGAGTGACATTGAGCTAGAAGACGCTCGTGCAGCCGCTCAGAATGCCTTGTCTGGGCTAACGTGCGGTTCAGAAGCCTCGATGAGGAGAGCACACCGGCATGAATTCCATGAGGGTGACGCTGAGGGTAGCGAAGACCGAGGCGAGCGCTTCGTGACGGAAAAGGACAGCCGAGAGGTCTGTCAAGCCACGAGTGCTATTAGACTGACGAAGCAAATGCACTCTGTTCCCGCCGCTCCGCGAGTCTCTGCAGGTCTAGCCTGAGAGAGCTGGATCGAGAGGAAGACGAGTGGCAAGATGACGGGGTTTCAACGGAAAAGAACGATGGCCTTATATTTGTTGGACTCGTTCTTGAATTTGAGTCATGGTCAGAAGAGTTACGGATGGAGTTCGTAACTTCAACCAAAGTCGTGCCATCTGTGACTTTGATCTGTTGAAACAGAATGAGCTCGCCGCTTCGACGATGCGCGCAATCGTGAATGTGAATGTGATGCATCCGCGTCACCGCGTAATACGCGCGCGCGTCCTGAGCGCGTCTTATTCCCGCGGACCGATCGCTCGTCCACGCAATTGAAATCACTTGATTATTCACATTACCATTCTTGATTTCTGGTATTTCTGGATCTGTGGAGTACATGCAAGCTAAGTCACGTGCACGTGACGTCGTCCGCCGGATGTCGGATCGTGCATCCATGATCTTCACCGCGCCAGCAGGCATTCACGATCGGTGATTGGTAACTGATTCATGACACCATATTTCGATCGAGGAATGGCCCGAAACTGCTTCGGGAGCACGATGGGGCTCATCTGACTCCCACATGCACCGCACCTCACATACGACATTTCTCGTGCGGCAGCTTCTGGCAGATCCTGCAGCTCTTGGGCGAGGCTGTGCTAGGTGTGCGCAATTGGCGTCCCCCGGGCGCACGACATCGACGACGTAGGTGTCAAGGCTTCCATCATCACCGACTCTCGCGGACCAGACGTGGTGTTTCATTTGGCATACGACCTGAATAGGCTTTCCACAAACGCATCCCTGTTCGGCATGGACCGCGACGTGTACGCGCTGCTGCCGCTTCCCGCGCTCGGGTCTTTGCCGCTGTCTTTCCGCATCTCTTCGATACAAGGCTTTCTTGCCCGGCACTCTGCCGTGCAGCTCTTGGACGAGCCACAGGCGCGACTGTGGGGAAAGCACAATGACGAATTTCCTGACCTCTACGTAGAAGTGAGGGTGTATGCGGACAACAAACCTCTTTCTGAGCCTGTTCGTACAAGCTACAAATCAATGAGAAATGGCTGGAGGTGAGCGAGCTTGCTGCAGCGAGTTGTACAACGGGGTGAACCTAGCTGACTTGAGACCTGCGTATGCCCAGGTTCAACGATTCTATCACATTTGCGACCTTGCCACTATCCTCACTACCACTCAACGCTCAGGTAGGCTTGACCATTTGGGACTCCGCGGGCAGACTAGAGGGTGGTAAGAGATGCGTCGGCGGAACTACTTTCAAGCTCTTTGGCAAGAAAGGGTGAGTCGCAAACCGCCACCCGCCGTACACCAGCTAGATCAAGCGCTGATGGATCATGCCCTACTCCTCCCCGTGTAGCACCCTGAAAACAGCGTCACACAGGTTGTTCGTTTGGCCAGAGATGCAAGCGGATGGAAGTGCGGAGACATCGACGCCATCGAAGGTCAGAGGTGCTGCTGCTGAGAATGTCGCAAGAGGTGGAGCAGCTCAAGGCTCAGATGCGGATGGGCTGGGAGTCGGCGCCAGTGATGAGCAGGGCAAGGATGAGATGGGGAGGCTAGAAAAGGTGTGTCCACGTGAGATAAGTAATGCGCACATGTACAGCGCTCTCATGGCTCCCTCCGTTCCCGCCTCCCGCCTCTGCGTTTCAGCTCATCAAGCTTCACGAAGCATCATCTCTTCCGCGGCTGGCTTGGCTGGACAAGCTGACCTACCGGCAGATTGAGAGAATCAATGCAGAGCAAGGTGTGCACTCCCAGGCTATGTGGCTCTATGTTGATCTGCCCCGCTGGGATGCGCCTGTCGTCTGGTGTGAGCTGGAAGGGAACCCTGCGCATACCGTGGCATCGACCTCAGCAGCGCCTACAGGCGTCGAACCAGTCAACACAACGCCGGGGGTTGGCGCAATCGACACTGGCTTCTTTACAGTCTTTGACGCCGAGCAGATTCCCATGCAGGATCCTCTGGATGGTAGATGGGGACTATTGGAAAACCCAATCGAGGCGAAATCAAGGCGTCTGGCCAGAAGCCACCGCAACGGACCGCTCGATCGAGAGCTAAAGCCAGACGCCGCAATTCGAGACGAGCTCAACGTGAGTTGGCTACGTGATGGTCTCCACGTTCAAGCGCTGACGGGACCGCGCGAATACGTCTAGGATATCCTCTCCTACCCACCCACTCGAGCACTGACCTCACGAGAAGCAGATCTCTTATGGTCGTTCCGCTTCTATCTGTCAAGATTCCCGGGTGGCTTGACTAAATTTCTCAAGTCTGTGTCCTGGTCAGATCAGGGAGAAGCAAAGCAAGCCACTGAGGTGCTGATGCCCATGTGGGCTAAGATTGGCTTAGACGATGCTCTTGAGCTGCTTGGACCTGGATTTCGTGACCAGCGTGTTCGGCATTACGCAGTACAGACATTGGAGCGTGCCGACGATGACGTGAGTGCGACTCCGTGAAGCTCAGAGGATCTGGACGCGATCGCTCATACAACGCACCGCTACAATCTGTCCAGGAACTTATTCTGTACCTTCTACAGTTGGTACAAGCGTTAAAATTCGATGACGCGTCAGCTGTGGGAGCTCCGGAGCCCGGACCATTGACCTCGTTCGGACCAGAGAGCGGGGTTTCCAGTGGGGCGGATTCTGCTACCCTTGCACATACGGCACCAGGCGATCTCATCGGCGTCTCGCAGACTTTGAGGCCCTATCTGATCAATCGCGCTCTGAAGTCTGCTCAGTCCGGTGACTTGGTACTGGCCAATAACTTATATTGGTATTTGACGGTAGAGACGGAGGACAAGAGATGGGGCCGCATGTATCGAGATGCGAGGCAAGAGTTTCTGAGCTCGTGCGAGAGAGTGAGTGGTGCGGTGTGAACCCTTGCACTAGCACTGTTGTAACACTACAAGCTGCTTATCCTCTCAAATAAAGGTGGGCGATGCTCTGCTAGCCTCGCTATTCAAACAACAAGCCGCGCTCGTTGCTCAGCTTAGCAAGCAAGCTCTGCTTCTTCGATCCTCCAAGGACTCTCGCCCAAAGAAAATTGACAAGCTCCGAGCTTTCATTGCGGATCCAAAGTCAAAATTGCAGGATTTTGAGACATCAGGTCTACCGCTGCCGCTGGACGCCACGGTCCGCGTGAGTGGGATCAGGGCTGAGGAGAGTACAATCTTCAAGAGCAACCTGTTTCCGTTACTTCTGCAATTTGACAGAGTACCGCAGCTGCAGCCGTCACACGAATACGGAGAAGCGTCGGCTGAGTCGTATGGCGTCATCTTCAAGAATGGCGACGACCTTCGCCAGGACCAATTGGTGATTCAGCTTTTCACCTTGATGGACAAGCTGCTACGCAACGAGAATCTCGACCTGCGCATGACGCCCTACCGCGTCCTAGCTACAGCCTCGCTGGACGGAATGGTCCAATTTGTGCAATCCGCGAGCGTCGCAAGCATCCTGGCGACCCACAGCGGAAATCTATTGAACTACCTGCGCTCATATCATCCTGATGAGACCAGCCTGGCGACGTATGGTGTGAGGCCAGAGATTTTGGACACCTTCATCAGGAGCTGTGGTACGTCATCAGCAGCGAGACGATGACCTGCGCCATCTGACAAACGGCTCATTTGACGGGCCCCACCTCTCTGTGCAGCTGGATATTGCGTGGTTACATACCTCCTCGGCGTGGGGGACCGCCATTTGGACAATCTTTTGTTAGCGCCTGATGGTCATTTCTTCCACGGTGCGTTGAAGCAACTGCGTTAGGGGTTTAAGCGTGGCCCCACGACGCTAGAACTAAATTTGCAACTTTCGATTTGTGATTGAGCAGTGGACTTTGGCTACATCCTTGGCAGAGACCCAAAACCGTTTCCTCCAGCTGTCAAGCTTTGCAAGGAGATGGTGGATTGCATGGGTGGAACGCAATCACAGCACTACTTGCGGTTCAAGAGTCTCGCTCATACGGCTTTCGCAAATTTGAGAAAAAACGCTAACCTGATTTTGAATTTGATTGCGCTGATGGTGGATGCCAATGTGCCCGACATCAGAGTGGAGCCAGACAAAGCTGTACTCAAGGTGGGTCGACTAGGCGGAGCGCTGCGAACGAATAAGCTGCTCATCTCACAAATGACTTGCTGGTTTGCCAGGTCCAAGAAAAGTTCCGCCTTGAGCTCGGAGAAGAAGAGGCAATCCAATTCTTCGACGGCCTTCTCAACGAGACATCGTATGTCACCATGGTATTTGATCGGCTACACGATGCGGCACAATTCTTTAGGTCATGAGATTTCGTATTCGCGGCGTCCTGCTCAAGACTATCATTTGCTGTTGGTCACATCCCAGTGGAAGATCTGACCTGGTTGTTCGTGCGGCTTGCGCCGCTCTGCATGCATGCATTCCTCGGGGAAATCTGCGCACGGCTCCGAGGTTTTTTTCCGATGAGCGCTCGAGCCTCGCGCTAAGCTTCTGCGCGCACAGACACTTCAGCAAGCGATATGCCTACAAATAATCGATCTCACTCGTTTCATCTCAGCGCACTCATCACCAACATGGACATCAGCAGACGGACAGCCTTCGCTAAAGTCATTTTGAGTCGACGTGCGTTTCCACACCAGTAGCCTTTCCAGCATGCCTATCAACAGCAGGCTCAAGTAGCAGTGGAGCGCTGGATCTCGAGACATACTCAACACCCCTGCATCCAAGCACCCGAAGGGGGAGGGGCCTCCGTGCATGCACGCACTCCTGTGTCTTGCACAAGCAGACTCACGACTCCTCCAGTCCCAGCTCGACGAGCTGCAACAGGAGTCTCATCAGTGGGCCAGCAGTCATCGATTTCTCTCCGTCACTCACACTGCATCACGTGTTCGTCGTTGCTGTATTACCACCGCTATGGGGCTGTAGGCCCTCTTTGGAAACATTTCCACATCGGCCATCCCTAATTTCACACGCGACGCTTCGTGCCCAGATGGAAAGCAAACGCCTTTGCGCAGACAGGTAAATAAAGCGCCCGGCTTCCATAGATCAGCGAAG